TGCGTCTGGACTCGCTCCATTCATACCAATCATGGGTCGAACCCTCCGCCGGGAAGCAGGGACCACTCCGTCAATCAGCAAGAACAAGTTCTGCTGAAAATCTCGGGAGAGTATGCTAAGCACGCTTGGGGAGGTATCTGGCCATGGCTGTGGTTGGGGAAAGGCTGTGGCTGGCCATGCGACCTTCCTGTCCAGACTCGTATCGCCAGAAAACAATAGTATAACATTCAACAACTTCCTGCGGATCGGCGGAATGGCGCGAACCCCTTGAATATCGAAACAAGTAGTGGCCACCGAAAGGGGAGAGCACCATTTTGACGTGAGCGCGCAAGCATGCGAGGGCGCCCGCACGAGACACGCCACCAACCAATCACGCGGGAGTTGGAGCGCAGAGTGCATACTCCACCGCGTGTGCATGTGTGTCTGCGTGCGCGCGTAGTGGTTTGTGGTGCGCGTGCGTGCGCGGCTGGTGGCATGTGCGATGGCACATACGGCGACGCGCTGCAATGCGACCACGTTCGATGCAACGAAAGGCCACGCAAAGCAGTGGGACCGAAACGTCCGCACGCATTGGACTAAATGTGGACATCGCGCTGTCGCGCAAGGTATTCAGTACCACTGCAACCTCAATGGGGACGCCTCGAAGAATGCGGCCCCCAGGCGAGCGCGAAATCCATTTCCAAGCATTTCTTCTCGGACTGTAGCAGCGCGCGAGCCAGAGTCGCATCTGGGCGGGGCCCCAAAGGCCCCAGGAGGCCAGTGGGCCCCGCCGTGCAGGGACCGCAGCCCACCGCACCGCTGGCCACGCCAAGCCAACACATGCCCTGGACAACTGCGCCAATCCACGCGCCCACGCGCCTCTCGTGATGCCGAACGGCCACGACAGCAAGACCGGCTGGTGACGTGGAGACATCCAGCGTGGAGCGATTTCCTGAGGGCGTGGCGAGCGACTCGCGGGTCAACCCGCGGGCGGCTGAGTGAGCGGCTGAAGCGGCCCGCCAGCCGCCGAGGGAAGCAAGCGCAGTAGCGCATGCACGAGAGGTCTACCAAAAGAGTCCAAACTGCCTCTCTCGTCCAAGGCACAAGCACGGAGGCTCGTTGGGCCGACGGCCACTAGATCCGCCGCCCCCTGTTGGCTTGCCACAAGGGTGCACGGCGTGCCAGGACGTTAGGTAGTTTCTGGTCCTTTTCAAACTTCTGGGTGGTCTTCCGCCCAACCCGCCGTCCACCCGGAAAGACGCGCAGGAACGTGCAAGGAGGGGAACACCCAGGAAAGTCGCTTCCAAGACGGCCAATATTATCTCCACGATGCCTCCAAGATGGCTAAGATTGCCCCGAAAGAGTCCAGGATGGTCCCACGACGCGTCCAAGACGACCCTAAAACGACCACAGTCGGCACAAGGGGCCCCCTAAGCCGCCCCAAGAAGGCTCCAACAGGACCTCCAGGAGGCCGAAATCATTGTTTGTCCGTCTGTTTTTCCATCATTTTGGCGTTTTCGCCTTTTCGGGCTTCCGACGATCCCAAACATTCGGCCCAACGATTGGCCGGGTGTGCGTTTCCAAAAGGCAGGGGGCGACGTTGATTCGCCGTGGGCGTCTTCGATCCACTGCCCTCTTCTGCTTGCAGAAGGGTGTGCGGCGTGCCGGGTCAGCAACTATCCCTTCGGGCCTTTCACAAAGGTTCCCAGTGGGGTCCCAACGCATCCCGCTGGCTCCAAGACAGCCCAAGATGCCCACTGGACGGCCCAAGAGGCCCTCCAGATAGCCAAAGAGGCCACCAAGACGCCCCAAGAGGGCTCCAAGAGGACCTCCAGGAGGACCCCAGCGGGCAGAAGACATGGCGCTTCGACTGTTTTGTTCGCGTTCTCGCCGCTTGTTTCGGGCCCCCGGCGGTCGAAGACGGCCCCGGAGGGCTCCAAGACAGCTCCCAGACGGCCCCAGAAGCTCCTCAGAGGCCGCAGACGGGCCACCAGGGCCGAAGACGGCCCGAGCTGCCCCCCAGGGTGGCCCCCGAGGAGGCTCCCAAGACGGCCCCGCAGACACCTCCGCGAAGCCCTCCACAAGCGCCCGAGGACGGCCCCACGCCTGGCCACGTAGAGACCCGCCGGGGCCCCCCACAGAGACCCCGAAAAGGGCTCCCAGGGGGCTCCCAGGAGGCCCCAGAAGGGCTCGAAGAGGCCTCCTCTTCATATTCCCCCTCCCCATCCTCCTTCTCATCCCTCCCCTCCTCCCTCCCTCCCTCCTCCTCCTCCCTCCTCTCTCCTCCTCCCTCCTCCCTCCTCCCTCCTCCCGTTTTCCTCCTCCCGTCTTCTTCCTCCCTCCTCCCTCCTCCCTCCTTCCTCCTCATTCCTCCTTCCCTCCCCCCCCTCCTCCTCCTCCTCCTCCTCCTCCTCTTCCTCCTCCTCCTCCTCGAATCATCCTCTCCCAAGCGATTTTTGTCCCAAGGATTTCCAGCAAGGCTGGTGGAACGGATAGTCGAGTACACTGGCCAAACTTAGCCCCAACGTGTGGCCACATCGCCATCTCCAGAGAGGCAAGGTGCGGTGTTGATTCGCCGTAGCCTTCTTCGAAAACTTGCGCAAACGCGTCTATGTATTGCTCAACATTTCCCTCCCATATCTGCCAGTGCTAGGGGTATTCACCGCTCCAGCAATAGTAGTTCCGACTGCGCCGACGCATCAGTAACTTTCCTCTGCGACCAACACGCTAGCACGGATCCGCACAAAGGAGCACTATGACCCCAAAGTGGGGCAGCGAGCCAGTGGATGACCCTGCAGTTGAAAAAGGGGGAATGTGCTCGCAGAACCACCCCCCCTCCCCGCTTCACAGGGGGGGTGAGATTTTCGACCCGAGGGGACCTCTCGGAGGGGGGTCTGGCCTCGTGAGTAGAGAGTAGAGACTAGTGAGTAGTGAATCGTGAGTAGACAGTAGCGGCTAGTGAGGAGTGAGTAGTAAGTAGTGAGTAGTGAGTAGGGAGTAATGCGCAGTGAATAAAGAGTAGTGAGTAGTGAGTAGTGGGTCGTGAGTAGCGAGTAGTGAATAGCAAGTAGCGAGAAAGGCATTGTGAGTAGTGAGTAGTGAGGAAGGTGTCGTCAGTAGTGAATAGTGAGTAGAGTAGCGGGTAAGGAGTAGCGATTACTGAGTAGTGAGTAGTGGGTAGTGAGCAGTGAGTAGCGAGTAGTGTGATATTGAATAGCGAGTAGGGCATTGTGAGTAATGAGTAGTGCGGAGGGAGTAGCGAGTAGGGAGTAGCGAGTAGTGAAAAATGAATAGCGAGTAGGGCATTGTGAGTAGTGGGTAGTGAATAGAGAGAAGTGGCTAGTGAGTAGTGGGTAGTGCGTAGGGAGTAGCGAGTAGAGCATTGTGAGTACTGAGTAGTGAGTCGTCGGTAGTGAATAGTAAGTACTGAGTCGTCAATAATTCGTAGTGACGTGTGACTAATGCATAAGGAGGGAGTAGTGAAGATTGAGTAGTGAGTTGTGCGTAGTGGATAATGATTATTGCGTATCGGGTAGCGAGTAGGGAATAGTGAGTAGTGAGCAGTGGGTACTGTGTAAGGAGTAGGGTGTAGCCAGTAGTGCGGAGTGAGTAGTGAGTAATGAGTAGGGGGCAGTGCGCAGTGAGTAGTGGGTAGTGGGGAGTGGGTAGTGAATAGTGAGTAGGGAGTAGGGCGTCGCGAGTAGTGAATCGTGAATAGTGAGTATTGAGTAATGAATAGTGAGTACTGAATACTGAGTTGTGAGTAGTGAGTAGTGAGTAGTGGGTAGTGAGTAGTGGGTAGTGAATAGTGAGTGGTGAGTAGTGAGTAGGGAGTAGTGAGTAGCGAGTAATGAGTGATGGGTACAGAGTAAGGAAAAATGAGTACAGCTTATTTGTTGGGGCTGGGGTTAGGGTTTGGGGTTAGGGTTACGGGTGGTCGGGGTGGTAGTGTTAGGGGTGGTAGGGGTCGGGTTCCTGAGCCAGGGGGCGCCGTGGCGAAAGGGGGGAAGGGGGGGAAATTCGAATTTGGCGGCCAAAAGGGGGGTGGGGGAGGGGTTCGGACCCCCCCCGACGACGGACCGGTAAAGGGGGGGCGGGGGTGGGGGGGTTCCCCGACGACGGACCGGGAAGGGGGGGAGGGGGGGGGGGTCCCCGACGACGGATCGGGGAAACGGGGGGGGGGTCCCCCCCCCCCCCTTTGGGGCCATCCAGCGGCGCGCCCTCCCAAAGTGGGCCACGCACGAGTTATTTCCGTCTCGCCCGGCAGCAACATGAGCAACCATACCCTCCTCTTTCCCTTCCCTTCCCTCCCTGCCTTCCTCTTGCCGCCCTCTTCTCCTTCCCCTCACTTCACTTTATTCTGTCCATTTTCGCACATCTCGGAATCTCTCCATCATCGACATGGTCATCCCCCCTCCCCTGCCCACTTTCAGTTCTCTTGGAGGAGAGGAGGGGCAAGGGCTACCACCAGGTTTGTCTTAAGGACAACGTAACAACCCATACATATCAAAACACCATCGACAAACGAGTAGGCCCCTCAGTCTGCCTCAACAGCCTGATATTTCTCGACTGACCGTCCGCAGAATTTCCGTACACCCTCACCCCGAATCTCGATTTCTTGTAGCTGGGCCAGTCTGTCATGCCCGAGATGGACCGACTCGCAACATCGAATCGGAAACGGATCGGACCGCCAGGGAATCGTCCCGAACCGAATCGCATCGCACCGCCGCGCCTGGCTCTGGCAGACCCCGGCCGATGCCGGCGAATCGAACCGCATCGAAGCGACTCGGAATCGCGGCCCCAGCCTGCGAACCAAGTCGCATCAAATCGTAGCCAGGCCAGGCTGTGCACGCGGGAGGCCCCCGCTCGCCATCGCTCGGACGTACATTCCCTGTGCTTTTCTCGGTTTCGTGCGTGTTTTCTTCGCCGAATGATCGAGGATGCTCCTCGATGGTCCTCGCCGAAAGAAAAATGCACACGTCCGAGCGATGCCAAGCCCGAAGGCTGCCCCCCCCGGCCGCCTTGGCGTAGCCGTGCGGCAGGACGGCCGTGTCCACCTCCAGCCAGCGGGCGCCGCGGGTCACCTCGACGAGGATTCCGCCGTGACCCGCCGAGGGCGGGGCGCGCGCGTGCTCGCGGGGCGCGCGCGCGGCAGAGCTCGGCAGCGTCTGTCGCTCTGCCGGCGGCTCGATGGGAGGGTGCCGGGCTCCTGCGCGGGCGGCTCGGGCCCCGGGGGCCCCGCGGACCGCGCCTGGGCATCGCTCGGACGTCCGTTCCCCGTGCCTTTTTTCGGCTTCGTGCGTGGCTTCCTCTGCAAATGATCAAGGATGCTCCTCGATGGTCCTCGCCGAAGGAAACATGCACACGTCCGAGCGATGCCAAGTTCCCGGGAGGAGGAAAGGTCTGGCCCCGGTCTGGCTCGGCGCCTGCCCCGCGGCCCCTCGGGGTCAGACCCGTGGCCGTGGCCTTTTCTGGCGCAAGCTGGCTTCCCTTCCCCCTAGCCGCCAGCGTGCCCCCCCGCCCCCCCGGCACGTGGAGGCGTGGAAGGATGTCAAAGTCTGTCTGGTGGGGGCTTCGAATTCTGGGAAAGGGGCTGCCGCTCCTTCTCCTGGCACGCTCTTGCGTGCACCGCCCCTCCTTTCCGAGGCCACTTCCCCCGTGCCCCCTCGAGGATGGTGCCCGCCCAGCACGGCAGCGAATGCCCCATCCCCGATTCCACGCGTACCCGCTCGAGGATGGAGCACCCGCAGGCATCTAGTGCCTGGACCCCCCTTCCACGCGTGCCCGCTCGAGGATGGAACTTCCCGAATGGCAGCTGCTGCATGACCCCTCCTTCCAGGCGCGCCCGCTCGAGGATTGTGCACTTCCCGCATGGGCTGCCAGCTCCTAGACGACGATCAGCGAGCGAAGAACGGTATAAAATAAACTTTTTCGCCGTCGGGGACACCTGCCCCTGGGCGGCTGGAAAGTTTATACCCCTACGGTGCCACCGCAAGGGTATAAACGTTCCAGCCGCCCTGGGACAGGCGCCCCCGACGGCGAAACAGTTTATGTTATACCGTTCTTCGCCCGTTAACACGAGTAACTATCCCACGCGCACCTGCTCGAGGACCGCGCTCGTCCCGCATGCCCGAGCGCTGCTCCCCTCATGGCAGCTGCTGCACGATCCCTCATTCCAGGCGCGCCCGCTCGAGGATCGTGCACTTCCCGCATGGGCTGCCAGCTCCTAAGACCACGTCACGAGTACCCCACGCGCACCTGCTCGAGGACCGTGCTCGTCCCGCGTCACCGAGCGCTGCTCCCCGGCGCTCCCAGGGCCTCCCACGCCGCGAGCCCTCGTGAAGAATTATGGTATGGCTGCTGGCTCCTGAGCGCTGCTCCCCGGCAGGCGCTCCCAGGGCCTCCCACGCCGCGAGAGCCCTCGTGAAAAACACAGTGGTAATTATGCGCCCCGCGCTGCCACGGCGGCCCCGTGCGGGCCACCAGGGACACCCACGAGGGCCCAAGAGATACAGTCGAGGCGTTGACCCAAGGCACCCTAAGTAAGGAACGAGGCCCCTATCTTCCAGAAGTTCACCTTCGATTTCGCACCGAAAACCTAGGGAAAATCTAAGGCAAGCTGCGAAACAATCAAGGAACACGGAGCCCCTCCCCAACGAAAAGGGTTCCTTCTTCAGGGCCCCGACTGTACCTCGAAGACAGCCCACGAGGGCCCCACGGCTTAGTGGGCCCGGAAACGACAAAGCCGTTTTTTTACCGGCTCCGCTTTGCCGTTCTTTTGCCGGTTAGGACGCCGTCTTTTTACCGGTTCCGTCGCCGTTTTTTGACCGGTTCCGGCTCCGGTTCCAATCCTAGAGCCGTTTTTTTGCCGTTTCCGGTCGCCGTTTTTTTTGCCGTTTCCATTTTCAAGGGACATTTTTTTGGAAACGGTGAAAAAACGGCCCTGCCGTTTCCGGGGCCCACAAAGCCCCACGGTGGCTGAACGTTGATTCAAGACGGCCCAAGATGCCTCCAAGAGGGCCCTAACTGGCCACAAGAGGCCCTAGAACAGGGTCCGAAGGAGCCAACATCATTCATGTCCCTTGAACTCTTGAACGACTTTCGCATTCTCGCCTTTTCGGGCTGCCCTCAGCTCAAGACGGCCCAGAAGGACTCCACTATGGTCCAAGAGCATCCCAGACGGTCCAACCGTGGGAACCAAGACGGCCTTGGAAGGCGCTTCGACGGCCCAAGGTGGCGCCAAGACGGCCCCACGACGGTTCCCAGACACCTACCATGCGGCCAAGAGGGCCCCAAGACGGCTCAAGAGAGCGCCAAGCCGGCGGAAGAGGGCCCCAAGACGGCCCCAGAGGAACTCAATGACTGCATCACAGCAGGCCCAGGCAGCCCCACCGATTGCCCAAACGAACCATCATCATCCACCATCCACCATCCACCATCCACCATCCACCATCCATCATCATCATCATCATCATCATCATCATCATCATCATCATCATCATCAGCAGCAGCATCTTCAGCACCATCATCATCATCCCATCATCATCAGCAGCATCAACGTTAGCATAATTCTCAGTATGATCATCATGGTCATAATCATCATCACCATCATCATCATCATAATCATCATCAACATCATCATCACACCTATACGACCGCCATGCGGGCGATAAGGAGGTTGGGGGGGACTGAGATCACATGCCCACCCTGACTGACCTCCAACCTGTTACTTTGATATCATCTCTCTCTCTCTCTTTTCTCTCTGTCTCTCTCTCTCTCCCTGTCTCTCTCTCTCTCTCGCCCTCTCTCTCTCTCCCTCTCTATCAGAGTTTCCCTCCACCACAATGGATTGGATGGATTGGATTGGGTGGGATAAGATAAGATGGGACAATACGGGTTTGATAAGATATGATGGATTGGATTTGACAAGATGGATTGGATAAGCTGGATTGGATAAGAACGCCCGCCGCAGGCGCCGACAACAATGAATTGATGGATTGGGTTGGGTGGATTGGATTGGATGGGATAAGATGGATTGGATAAGATAAGATGGTTGGATTGGAAGACGTGGATTTGATGAGAGAAGATGGATTGGATTGGCCCGCCGCAGGAGCAGAAACAAATGAATTGATGAATTGGGTTGGGTGGATTGGATTGGGTGGGATAAGATAAGATTGGACAAGATGGGTTGGATTAGATAAGATGGATTGGATGGGACAATTGGATAAAATAAGCTGGATTGGATAAGAAAGCCCGCCGCAGGCGCCGAACAAAACATTTTGCAATTAGAGACATGCGTTAACGCCGGGACTCCCGGGACACCCGGGACACCCAGGACACCGCCCGGCCCAACTGGGACACCTCCCGGCCACCGGCGGACGGGAAACGGACTTTCGCTCCTACTGACGCCCGGGACACCCGGGACACCTCCCGGCCCAACTGGGACACCTCCCAGCCACCAGCGGACGGGAACGGACTTTCGCTCCTACTTCGGCCTATAGCTACAGGATGATCACGCGCAGCTTCGCCTCGCCCGCACGCACGACACGAACACGAAACCGAAACCAATTTCCCGGTGGGGGGTCTCAGTTTCACTGCGATCTCACCTCCCAACCTCTGATCAATCTTTATCACCATCTTCAGCTTCATCGTCATCTTCATCATCATCATCTTCATCGACCCCATCATCCTCATCTCATCATCATCGTCACCATACTTAGCATCACCTTCATCATCACCACCAACATCAACACCCATCATCGTCGTCGTCATCATCCTCAACAGCATGATCATCATCAGCCTCACCCTAACCATCATCATCATCACCACCACCACCATCATCATCATCATCATGATCATGATCATGATCATGATCATGATCATGATCATCATCATCATCAGCATCAGCATCAGCATCAGCATCAGCAGCATCATCATCATCATCATCATCATCATCATCATCATCATCATCATCATCATCATCATCATCATCATTATCTTCATCAACATCATCACCATCATCACCATCACCGTCATCACCACCAACCCTATCACCACCACCACTAGCATCAGCATCGTCAACATCATCATCATCATCGTCATCGTCGTCGTCATCATCGTCGAGAGGCCCCCATGAGGCCCAACCGAGGCCGCAAGAGGCCCCAACACGTCCCCCAAGAGGCATCCAAACCGCCTCCACAAGGCCCCCGAGAGGCCCCCAACGAGATCCCAACGAACATCCAATAGGCACGGTGGCGGGATGGGCCAAAGGCCATTCGATCCGCCGCCCCCTGTTGATTCGTCACAGAGGTACCTGGCGTGCTGAACTTCTTACGATTTTGGTTTTGGTTCTTTTCCAAAAGAACTCTCCCAATGGGCTCCGGCGCGTCCCGCCGGGGTCCCGGGAGGATGCCGAAAGATCTTCCAGAGGTGGTTGCGAAGGTTTTTTCCGTTCCAGACGGCTCCAAGATGGCCCAAGATGGCCTCCAAGACGCCTCCAAGACGGCTAAGATGGCCCCAAGATGCCTCCAAGACGGCCCAAGATGCACCCAAGACGGCCTAAGATGGCCTCAAGATTGCCCAAAACGGCCCAAGAGGCTCCCAAGAGGCCTCCAAGACGGCCCAAGAGGCCTCCAAGAGGTCCTCCAGGAAGGCCCGAAGAGGCCAAAATCATTGATTTTCCATAGGTTTTTGAAGGATTTGGGTATTTGCGCCTTTTCGGCTTTCCGACGGCCCAAGACGGCCCAAGAGGCCCCCAAGGTCGCCCCACGATCGCCCAAGAGGCCTCCAAGATGGCCCCATGATGGCCCAAGAGGCCCCCAAGACGGCCCCAAGAGGGCCCCAAGACGGGCCAAAAGGCCTCCAAGACGCCCAAGATGGCCTCTAAGATGGCTCCGAAGCGCCCCAAGAGGGCCCAAGTCGGCCCGGAGTGGCCCCCAAGACGGCTCCCGACGGCGTCAGACGTGCCAGGAACCCACCAAGATGGCCGAAGTTGGCTCGAAGCTGGCCCAAGACGGCCCAAGAGGCCTCCAAGAGTCCTCCAGGAAAGCCAGAAAAAGGCCAAAAACACATATTTCCCTTTGGTTTTTTAAGGATTTTGACATTTGCTTCTTTTCGGCCTTCCGACGGCCCGAGACCTCCCAAGAGCCCCCAAAGATCGCCCAAAGATCGCCCAAGAGGCCTCCAAGATGGCCCCAGAACGGCCCACCAGGCCCCCAAGACGGCCCAGGAGGCCTTTAAGACACCCAAGATGGCCTCCAAGACGGCCCTGGAGCATTCCAAGAGGGCCCCAAGTCGGCCCAGAGAGACCCCCAAACGGCTTCCGACGGCGTCTGACGGGCCAGGAGCCCACCAAAACAGCCGAAGATGGCCCTAAGATGGCCCAAGAGGGCCTCCAAGAGGGCCCCCACGAAGGCCCGAAAAGGCCCAAATCATTGATTTCCAAATAGTTTTTGAAGGATTGTGGCATTTGCTTTCTTTCGCCCTCCCGACGGCCCGAGACGGCCCAAGTGCCCCCAAAGATCGCCCAAGACGGCCCCAAGAGGCCCCCAAGACGGCCCAAGAGGCCTCCAAAACGCTCAAGATGGCCTTCAAGACGGCCCAAGAGCCCTCCAAGACGTCCTCCAAGAAGGCCCGAAAGGGTCAAAATGGCCTCGAGACGGCCAAGATGACCTTCAATATGCCCATGTGTTCCCCGAAGGCTTTCCAAACCGATTCGGGGAACACATTATCCGATAGCTTGGCAGGTCTGGCCTCAACGTTCGGCCACATAGGCGCTTCCAAAAAGGCAGGGGGCGGCGGTGATTCGCCGTAGGCGTCTTCGATAATCATAATCAACATCGTTATCATCATCACCATCATCATCATCATCGTCGTCGACGTCGTCGTCGTCATCGTCGTCGTCACCAACATCATCATCACCATAATCATTAACGTTACCATCATCACCACCGCCACGGTGACCATCACCACCATCATCATCGCCACACCATCATCATCAACATCATCAACATCATCAACATCATCAACATCATCATCATCATCATCATCATCATCATCATCATCATCATCATCATCATCACCATCACCATCACCATCACCATCACCATCATCGTCGTCATTATCGTCAGAACCCTTATGATCTTCATCACGGCCCTCCCAAGCCTGGAAACACGAGGTGTCACACGTGACGGCCACCGGTGCCCCCTCGAACTGTCGCCACCCAGAATGCTGGGCTGGCACGGTGACTGGACTTGGCGCAGGCAGCTGGATATCTGTCGCGCTGGCAAGACTCCGACCTCCGACGACCTGTCTCTTTCAATACGTGTGGCTCTGGAACACTCCGGCCAGACCTCAGTCGTGTGGATCTCGCAGCGTGAGCTGTTTTCTGTGGGTCTCCAAGTCCGACGAGGGCTCCCAGAGGCTCGAGCGTGAAAATAAAAATGGCCCCGACGCTTCAAAGCGCTAGAGCAATGGCTCATTTGGCCGTGCGTCGGACCTGCCCGACGATGTCAATCTATCTTGCCCGCTCGAGGTCCCGAGAGGCCCCCCAGAGCCCCCAAGAGACCCCCATAAGGCCCCCAAGACGCCCCAAAAAGCGCCCAAGAGGCATCTTCAAGATGCCTCCAAAAATCACCCGCGCAAACATCCAGCCGCCCCTGGATCGGCGGCACTGGCCGGAGGCCATTACTTTGGACACCCGAAATGGGTACGGAAAGAATGGGTACAATGCCCAAGAACAAATGCTGTCCCAAACCAACAGCGGCCGCTGTTGGGCAGGCGGCCTTCTGTCTCAAGTGGACACGGGCCGCGGCGGCGCGGACAGCGAGTCCTGTTCAGAGTGAACAGGAACTGCTGTTGGGCATCGTACCCATTCCGCTCGTGCCGAAGTACAGAATCTCTCACGAGCTTGCCGGAATTCCCGAACATCTGAGCTCTGCCCCGCGCGACCCGCACTTGACACCCTCGCGCTCTCGCGCCGCACGCCAGGGGGATGGATGAACAGCTCTCCGATTGGAGGCCGCGAGGCCTCCAATCGGATGCCCCCCCTCCGGCCCCAACGGCGCCGATCGCAACCCACACCCTGGCGTAACCTCACCCTTCCCAGACCTCCTCGAGTTGCGGCCAAAATCACGACGGGAGGTTCTTCCCTACTTTCGGTCTCCAAGATGGGAACACTATTGGATCACGATGGCAACACATTCCGTGCGTGTTCCAGACGCTGTAAGAGGCAACATGCCCAACACACCACAAGTTGTGTCAGTGGGCTTGCAGCGCCTGGGCGCCAGGACACACGACCTTATTGACAAGGGATGCTCCTTGTCTTGCGTCGCGCTGTCGCCTGAAGTCTACACGTAGTCTGGACAGGGCCAAAGGAAGGGCCGCAAGGCGTCCATGATATCCGAATGTCGACCTTGTCCAGAGGAAGCCCCTGCAGGACACTAAGCTCCCCATGCTCGACATCGATTGAGAGGAAGTCAATCCTCTCATCCCACAAATTACCCCGGGTCAGAACGCCCTCCATGGTCAAGCAATCCGCTGTGAACTGTACGTTGCCGTCGCGATCCGAAAATGCCTTGCCCTTGGTCCCCTCATCGTCGACACAATCCACCGCCTCCTGCGCAGGAGATGTCGGGCTGAAATTGGAATTCCTTCCCGAAGGCAGACATTACATTGGCTGTTGCAATGCTGCCCCCCGAACCCCTCCAATGCGTGACGCACGGCCTTCCTGCGTCCTCTCCCTGGGCCAGGGCTGCTTGTCCCGGAGATCGCGCGAAAGACAAGCCCCAGCCTCTTAGGCAGGAGGTGGGGATCAGAAATCATCTGACCAAGATCTGCTTGCATGGGATGGCGACCGTGAGTGCCACCTTGATACTCCAGGCTTGCGACTAGCAACTCCTCTGAAATGCAGCGCTGGTGCTCAATCTATCTTACTCCGTGGGGCAGCAACGACACGGCAACCACGATTGAGCTGCTGGGTGCTAGACCGCATAACGTTTGTATCAGAACAACGGTTCGAACTTCAAACAACATACTAATCACATGATGCGTGCACATAGTGGTGGCTACAGCGGAAACTGACTCGTGATGCAGGCCGAAGGCATCTTAGATGCTCGAACACCTCACAACTTCGATATGCCCGCAGGAAGTGCGCCAAATGTGGGTTTGGCTCCACGCAAACGCCACGCCAACCAAAACACCTGTCGAACGCCACCGTGTTGCTGTATTCGAAAGGCAACGATGCGCCGATATCGACGTACACGCCTGCTCGTTCTCGTCCATCGACCCTTGGGGCGGGCCCATTGTTCCGGAAGAAGTTCCAATAGATGAACCAGTCCTGCTTGAACTCGCCGATGGCTGTATAAGAACCGTTCTCGGTCGCAAACTCATCGCAACTGAGCGGAACCACGTTGGGATCCTTCAGGATCTCTGATGGCACGCGTGACATGCAGACTCCTCGCAAGCAGTATCCCCTCCGCATGAGAGCGGACTTCTCCCACAAGCCGTTCAGGTAATTGCAGTTTGGGCTGGCGGTATCCCCTTGCTCGTCGACCTCGGATGTGCTTGCAAGACGGAGCGCAGCGAGAAACGCATGCGCAATGGACTCGCACATTGAAGCAAGCACCCAACTGAGGCCACCTACAATCTACAGCCGCTCCTGGCTCCAAGGTCGCAACAACATATCCCTGGATACTCCATTTTGGACGGGGATGTTGACCCCGAGATTCCAATCTCCCATGGTCGCGCAGACTGCGAGGGAGGCCCGTGATCGCCCCTGGGAATCATTCGTCAGGCTGCGAGGGGACGCCGTCTTTGCCCTCCCCTGTGCCCCTACAAATCAAGGGAGGTACTCTTGCCTCCAGACGCCCCTCTGCAACTCGACTTATAAGGAATGGTGTAAAGAGGCTCGCACCGGGAACTGGAATGTTAATGCTCTGGGAGGGTTTGCTCCCAACTCGAGAGAATCACAGCATGAATATCAAAACCGATCCATACCCTGCTGGTAGGACACATGTCCCAGTACCCTCCTTCGAAGTCCTGCCATTCCTGCTACCCTCTTGAAGCTGGGACAGGGAGCAGTTTCAACATCCATCACTGTCTGCAGCCTCTGGGCCATTTGAAACACTGTGCTTACCAAAGTGCGACTTGCCTGCTCGGACCTAAGAAGCAATTGCGTTCTAATGTGGATATCGCGCGCTGGAACCTTCAAACAGCACTAGCTTGCTCAACTGGGACACCCTGGAGCGTCTAAACACAAGAGCGCTAAGGGGTCATGATGGCTACCAGCATAATTATTCCAGGGGGCGCTCGGACATGCATCACACAACCCTGCTGTTACTTCGTGGTGCCCTACCTCGAGGTCGATCTTGACTGCATTTTCGTAGAGATACCCCGCGCATTCTTCGGCTCCTGCCTGTGGGTCTCCAACTGAGCAGGGTGTCCCGAGAGACTCCACGAAGTCAACGCATTACAGTCGAGGCGTTGACCGAAGGAACCCTAAATAAGGAACGAGGCCCCTTTTTTTCATAAGTTAAACTTCGACTTCCCATCGAACATTTGAGTGAAACCTTAGGCAAGGTGTGGAACAGTTGAGGAACATCGCGCCCCTCCCCAACGAAAAGGGTTCCTTCTTCAGAGCCCCGACTGTATCCAAGCTTTCCCAGGACGGCTCCAGACTGTCTTCAGCCTGGATGCAGTCGACTCTCCGATGCTCGCCCAGGGCGCTTCACACTGACAACACGAGGCCTGGTCTTCCCAGTTGCCAAGGAGAACACCGTAGGAGGCCACGCAGGGCCGCAGAACTGCCTGTTAACAAGCGATCAAGACCGTCACCAATCGCTGCGTGTCGGACTGTGCTCTCGAAGTGTCCCCTGCTTCTCAATACAAGGAAGACGGGAGAGGATCGTTCGGATGACGTTTGGGACGGAATGGAACGACGAAGACGGGGGTGATGAGGAGGACGAAGACGAGACGGAAAACGACAACGACGCCGACGACGATAAAGAACACCAACCACATCGGGAAAAGAAGGCTGTTTCTTCGAACCCGGAAATTCTCGACATGCTTGCCCTAGCGGTTCCACAGAAGCCCCCGATAACCGCGAACGCCCTGTGCAGCGTCGGTGGTTGCCGCGCGAATCGGAGAATGCACATTTAAGCACGCCAAGTGCTTCTCATCATCATTGCCCTCCTCCTGCTGCTCCTACTGCTCGTGTCCTTTCCACGATTCAAAGATGGGGCCCTGAGGGATGAGGCCCTGCTAACAAGGATTGGATTACACATTGAACCTTGACTGCTTGAGGCTCTCGTCCTCAAGGCCCCGTCCCTCAAGGCCCCATCTTTGCACCGCACGTCCTGGCTCGTCGTAATCACCATCCGTCCCGAACCGCAACACCGACCCGACCCCTCAGCAGGACCCCCCACGACGTGCCTAGAGACCGTGCCGTTCGGCGGTCTGCTGCGGCACTTCGCGTGTCCTTCTCCTCGCTCTTTGCAACTTGGCCCACTCCATGCCCTACAGTCGGGGGCTTGACCTAAGGAGCCCAAAATAAAGAACGAGGCCCCTATTTTCCATGAGTTAAGCTTCGATTTCCGATCGGAAACCTAAGGAAAAACCTAAGGCAGGCTGTGAAACAATCAAGGAACACCGAGCCACTCCCCAACGAAAAGGGTTCCTTCTTCAGGGCCCCGACTGTATGCCTCCGCCTCCGCCTCTGCCTCTCTCTCTCTCTCTTTCTCTCGCTCACCTCCGTCCTCCCCCGGGCGGCTCTCTGCGCAACGCACGACTGACCCAACGATTCGGCACGCCAGGCCTAAGTGCGTGGTTTTAGACCTTCGCGTGGAGGTAATCGAACCGACTCGCATGGGCGGTTGAGCCGTGGAGCCAAGCTGGCGAATCAAGCGAGTCAACGCGGCCTTGAAGCCCATCTGTAAGCTGAGCTGCAACACCACATGTCGCATCACGATGGCGATCCCCCTTGCTCCACGCCCCGACCTTCCCTTCCTCTTCTCCAACTCCTCCGCTAAGCTCCCGGGCACACTTGTCCGACACCCAGACCACCACCACTTGCTCTGACAACATCGGCAACACGAGGTCCTGGCAACGACGGCCGTCGTGGTGCAATCCCAGTTCGGACGAGGGGTTCAGAGGACGATGGTTCAGAGGTGGACGGGGATGAAGAGGGGAAGGGGAGGAGGATGAGAGGAAGAGGGGGGGAGTGGAGGGAGGAGGAGGCGGTGGGGGAGGGAGGGAGGAGCTGGGGAGGCGGGGAGGGAGAAGGGGGTGTCAGGAAGCGGGGGAGGAAGTCCTATTTTCCTTTATTTTCTGGGGGATCGACGATTACCTGTGTCTGTGTGTGTTTTTCCCCCTCCTGAGCAAAGGGGGGGGGGGGGGGCGGGGTCTGGCTCCGGACCTCTGCTTTAGTGCGACTGCTTGGATCCGTGCGTCCTATGAGGGGAGGCTCCACCTGCTCGAAACAGTTTTTGGTCTGCGGGGCGAGAGCGAACCTCTTCCGGTACAGCCGGACCTAGGACAGAAGAACATCCATCAAGAACATGAGACCCTCCCTCAACCAAAGCAAGCAAAATATTCAAGGGTATCCTCCCCAGGATGCACAAGAACATCTAACTAACACGAAGAACATTAGGGTACCCTCCCCGAACCGACCTCGATCTTCTACCTCGGTCCGACCGTAAAAGCTAGGCGGGCTACGCGCAGCTCTAATTGGGGAGACAGGGCACACAGGCGGGACCTGCTCGAAACAGGCCCCCCCCCAACAAAAAAAAAAAACAGCCAAGATCCACTCCAGGGGGAGGGGGGGAGGGTGGGGTGCGAGGGCCCGCGCCGATCGGCAAAATAATGCATAACAAAATCGAGCGTCTTGAGCTCTGTTCTAATTCCTTGCCCGAGCGGGTCTGGGCTAAGTCGGGCGTGTCCCCCTAGAGGCGGCTCTTGGACGAGCAATAAAGAATAGCCCCAACATGTTTCAAACGTGCGAAACACCAGTCAAAGAGTCCCCAGACGATTTTCCGACATTTTTTGGAATTTGCCTCCTGCAGAGGGACAGGCCCGACTCAAAGTCATGTCTTTTCCTGGCCCGAGAGGGCCTGGGCCCTTCCCGATCCCCCCCCCTTCCCTTCGGCGCCCCGCTGCCGCGCGGCTCCAGCGAGAAGCGCGGCGCCGCCTCCGAGAAGAGGACGAGGTCGCAGCCCGGCGCGCCGGCGGCCCGGCGCCCGGGCGCGCCCCGCCGGAGCAGCGCCCCGAACTCGGCCTCCGAGGAGGAGGGGGAGGAGGAGGAGGAGGAGGAGGAGGAGGAGGAGGAGGAGGAGGAGCGCACGTACCCTGAAGGAGGAGGAGGAGGAGGAGGAGGAGAGGAGGAGGAGGCGGCGCGATGGGGGGGGAGGCGGGGGGGGGGGAGGGAGGGAGGGACCTGGGTCTGCACTGCCAGAGTCGAAGGGGGCACACAGGTGGGGCCGGGGCAGAGGTAGGGAGGGGGGGGGGGTGGGCGGCGGAGGGGGGGGCGGGCGGGAGGGAGGGAGGGGCCCAGGCTCCCATCGTGCTTTGAGGACCACATCCCAGACATGGTTTCGAGCACCCAGAAACATGTCGAAGCAGTGTCGATCGAGTTTCGCCTCCCAAGGCACGACGCGTGGAAACCAGCCAGTTTCGGTACCTTCCTGGTGCTCGAAATTCTCTCTGGTGATCGAGGCTGAAACAGGCTGGAACATCATAATCCGAGGACGGGGAGGGCGGGGGAGGGAGGCGGAGGGGGGAATTGGAATTGCGTCCTGATTCGCCGAGGGGGCGGCCAGCTTGGTGCGGCACTCGCTAGCTGCTGGCAGAAGCACGCGGGATCTAGCAACAGGGCCGCCAAGGTGTAATTTCTTCCTTCCTTCCCAATACCAGCGCCCATACCACCCCCAGATCGTCGGAAGACGCTCAAGGCGCAACACAACGCAGCAGGAGGAGGGAAAAGGCAAGAAAAAGCTGAAGGAGGGGGGGAGGGAGGGAGGGAGGGACCCAGGCTTGAGTCGGGCATGTCACTCTATAGGAGGGACGCTCCAAGATCGTCAGAAAAACCGTCAGGGCACGAATTTTTGGACTGTTTTTGACCATGCTTCGGTTCTTGTTATACATCGTCCAACATCTGCCTGTGGGAGGACACGCCCGACCTAGACCCAGGTCTCCACTTCCAGGATCGGGGGGGGCACAGAGGTGGGGTTGGGGCCGAGGTGGGGTTGGCTCCGAACGGCCCCTGGAAGAAGGAAACGCGTTCCACGGCAGCATCCAGCTGGGCACGTTCCCCAGCCCCACCTTGGGATGCCCCCCCCCCCCCCCTCTGCGGACCTCCGACAGAGCTGCAGCGTGGAGTCCCGGAGCCGGGCACGCCAGACCGAAGACTGACCCGATTTGGCGGCTCCGGCTCTGGTGCAGGCAAGGTCGCGAGCGCAGGGGAGGAACTTTCCCGCCCCGGAGGCGCTCATCACCCCCCAAGTTTTAGGTCGGGCATTGTCTCCTACAGAAGGCGCTCATCCCCCCCTCAAGTTTTAGGTCGGGCATTTTCTCCTCTAGGCATGTTTTGGACGAAAAAATAAAATTCAGTCAGTACATACTTCAGAATAGCCAAACATGATAGAAACATCGCCCCCAGACTTTGCTTTCACTATTATTGGATTTTCCTCCTGTAGAGGGACATGCCCGACCTAAGCCAAGTTCCAACTCCGTCAAGTCGACGCACTCTGCCGAGCTTGCTTAACGAATCTGCCTCCCGTGCCCGTGGCCCCACGCGGCTGGCACCAGAGAGCCCCTCTGCAGAGGTCCAGCCCGTGAGAGGCATCGATGCCCGCCGGGGCCTGAGAGAACGGTGGGGCTGAGCCCAGCTGACGGGCGAGTGCGACACCTGAGGCACTCGATGCCTTTAGTGTCGTGCCCAACTTGGTGGGACGACGCCACTTTAGCCTCATGTCGGGCATGTCCCCCTGCAGGCGGACTCTGGACGATACATTTCAATTTGCGTCAACAAATATTCG